TAGAGGAGGTGACCCGAGAAACCCATCACTGGAAGAGGTGACCGAGAGAGACCCATCACTGGAAGAGGTAACCAAGAGACACCTATTACTGGAAGAGGTGACCCAGAGAGACATATGACCGGGAGAAGTGACCTAATGAGAGACACATCCCCAGAAAAGGTGACCCAGAGAGACTCTTCACTGGAAGAGGAACTGACCCAGAGAGACCCATCACTAGAGGAGGTGACCCAGAGAGATCCATCACCGGAAGAGGTGACCCAGAGAGACAAACCACTGAAAGAAGTGACCCAGAGAGACAAACCACCGAAAGAAGTGACCCAGAGACACATCACCAGAAGAGGTGATCCAGAGAGACCTATTTTGGAAGAGGTGACCGACAGAGACAAATCAAAGGAAGAAGTGACCCAAAGAGACACATCACCGGAAGAGGTGACCCAGAGAGACACACCACCTTCTGAGTTTTATTGTGAGCACTGGGCTAATGCTGCAAGGGAAAGTTTAATTGTTTTTGGCTCACTCCACTTGAATAATGTTCAAAGTATGGTGGTCCGAAGGTCCTAAGATTAGTAGGATGGTGTTAGCATGGGGTGAGGTCCCTGCACCTAACAATTCAGGCAATGGGGATAATAGTTCATATTTTGATGTATTCAATAAAACAAACGTCATCCACATAGAAGACTACTCATGTTTAAAAAATCTTGTTTGGTGGCTCGAAATGTAGCATTTATTAATAGAGGATTGTGCACTTTAGCTCACTGTTGCTTATCTGCTTTGCATTTTAATAAATATCTATAAGGATTGAGAATTACTGTTTATATGTCGTCTGTGCAGGTGACTTGTTTTATTCAAGGAATGTTTTGTCCGAGTCGTGCCATTAGGCTGTCATCTGTTTGCAGGAGGCATATGATAAAATGTGGATTGGAGTGCGCTTCATTGTATAATAGATATTTCTGATGTGAGGGCCTAGTACCTCTTTGAATGAAGGCTTTGCGCTTTTCTTTATTTATTTTGTTATTGTTTTTTAGTCTAAGTAGCGGTGTTTCATATCATTACAGGAGCAGTGAAGATACTTGACTTAGTATACATCAACTGAAAATAATAGATGTACCTGGGCTAGAGTGGTGGAAAAAAACGTTGAAATGTCAAAAGCTGAAAATGGCTAAAATGTACTTTTTACTGTTTGATTTAAAATATATATAGATAAAAAGAGGATTAGAAAAATGGAAATTGCAATAATAATTAAGGAAGGCCCGGAGTAAGAAAAAAGAAGACCTGAACGAAGGGGCCGGCATGACAGGGGTTTAAAGGGGGTTGGGAGAGGCAGAGTCCTATTAGCATAAGGGGGAGTTTGTAGGAACCCGTCGGAGGCTTCCAGTTGTTCTGCTGGGGGTATCTGCGGTGGTGTCTCTGAGTCAGTGATGCACTTTGTAGGAACCCGTCGGAGGTACGGCTTCCAGTTGTTCTGGTGGGGGTATCTGCGGTGGTGTCTCCGAGTCGGTGATGCACTTTGTAGGAACCTGTCTGAGGTACGGCTTCCAGTTGTTCTGGTGGGGGTATCTGCGGTGGTGTCTCCGAGTCGGTGATGCACTTTGTGGGGAACCCGTCGGAGGTATGGCTTTCCAGTTGTTCTGGTGGGGGTATCTGTGGTGGTGTCTCCGAGTCGGTGATGCACTTTGTAGGAACCAGTCGGAGGTACGGCTTCCAGTTGTGCTGGTGGGGGGTATCTGCGGTGGTGTCTCCGAGTGATGATGCACTTTGTAGGAACCCGTCTGAGGTACGGCTTACAATTTTGCTGGTGGGGGTCTCTGCGGTGGTGTCTCTGAGTCGGTGATGCACTTTGTAGGAACCCGTCGGAGGTACGGCTTCCAGTTGTTCTGGTGGGGGTATCTGCGGTGGTGTCTCCGAGTCGGTGATGCACTTTGTAGGAACCCGTCGGAGGTACGGCTTCCAGTTGTTCTGGTGGAGGTATCTGCGGTGGTGTCTCTGAGTCAGTGATGCACTTTGTAGGAACCCGTCGGAGGTACGGCTTCCAGTTGTTCTGGTGGGGGTATCTGTGGTGGTGTCTCCGAGTCGGTGATGCACTTTGTAGGAACCTGTCTGAGGTACGGCTTCCAGTTGTTCTGGTGGGGGTATCTGCGGTGGTGTCTCCGAGTCGGTGATGCACTTTGTGGGAACCCGTCGGAGGTATGGCTTCCAGTTGTTCTGGTGGGGGTATCTGTGGTGGTGTCTCCGAGTCGGTGATCGGTGATGCACTTTGTAGGAACCCGTCGGAGGTACGGCTTACAATTTTGCTGGTGGGGGTCTCTGCAGTGGTGTCTCTGAGTCGGTGATGCACTTTGTAGGAACCCGTCGGAGGTACGGCTTCCAGTTGTTCTGGTGGGGGTATCTGCGGTGGTGTCTCCGAGTCGGTGATGCACTTTGTAGGAACCCGTCGGAGGTACGGCTTCCAGTTGTGCTGGTGGGGGTATCTGCGGTGGTGTCTCCGAGTCGGTGATGCACTTTGTAGGAACCCGTCGGAGGTACGGCTTCCAGTTGTTCTGGTGGGGGGTATCTGCGGTGGTGTCTCCGAGTCGGTGATGCACTTTGTAGGAACCCGTCGGAGGTACGGCTTCCAGTTGTTCTGGTGGGAGGTATCTGCGGTGGTGTCTCCGAGTCGGTGATGCACTTTGTAGGAACCCGTCGGAGGTACGGCTTCCAGTTGTTCTGGTGGGGGTATCTGCGGTGGTGTCTCCGAGTCGGTGATGCACTTTGTAGGAACCCGTCGAGAGGTACGGATTCCAGTTGTGCTGGTGGGGGTATCTGCGGTGGTGTCTCCGAGTCGGTGATGCACTTTGTAGGAACCCGTCGGAGGTACGGCTTCCAGTTGTGCTGGTGGGGTTATCTGCGGTGGTGTCTCCGAGTTGGTGATGCACTTTGTAGGAACCCGTCTGAGGTACGGCTTTCAGTTGTTGTGCTGGTGGGGTATCTGCGGTGGTGTCTCCGAGTCGGTGATGCACTTTGTAGGAACCCGTCGGAGGTACGGCTTCCAGTTGTGCTGGTGGGGGTATCTGCGGTGGTGTCTCCGAGTCGGTGATGCCCTTTGTAGGAACCCGTCTGAGGTACGGCTTCCAGTTGTTCTGGTGGGGGTATCTGCGGTGGTGTCTCCGAGTCGGTGATGCACTTTGTAGGAACCCGTCGGAGGTACGGCTTCCAGTTGTTCTGGTGGGGGTATCTGCGGTGGTGTCTCCGAGTCGGTGATGCCCTTTGTAGGAACCCGTCTGCGGTATGGCTTCCAGTTGTTCTGGTGGGGGTATCTGCGGTGGTGTCTCCGAGTCGGTGATGCACTTTGTAGGAACCCGTTGGAGGTACGGCTTCCAGTTGTTCTGGTGGGGGGTATCTGCGGTGGTGTCTCCGAGTCGGTGATGCCCTTTGTAGGAACCCGTCGGAGGTACGGCAGTTTCCTGGTGGGGGTTGTGCGAGTCGGTGATGCACTTTGTAGGGAGGTATCTGGTGGGGGTGCGGTGGTGTCTCCGAGTCGGTGATGCACTTTGTAGGAACCAGTCGGAGGTACGGCTTCCAGTTGTTCTGGTGGGGGTATCAGCGGCGTTGTCTCCGAGTTGGTGATGCACTTTTGTAGGAACCCGTCGGAGGTACGGCTTCCAGTTGTGCTGGTGGAGGTACGGCTTCCAGTTGTGCTGGTGGGGGTATCTGCGGTGGTGTCTCCGAGTCGGTGATGCCCTTTGTAGGAACCCGTCTGCGGTATGGCTTCCAGTTGTGCTGGTGGGGGTATCTGCGTTGTGTCTCCCGAGTCGGTGATGTTGCGGTTGGAGGCCTAGTTAAGCAGGACGCAGGTTTTCGTTTTTCTTGATGCCTATTGGGACCTTGCAGGAACGTATGTTTATACTGTGTGTGTTTTCTGTTATTTAAAATGTTATTTATTGATGGTTGTAATAAATGGCCGGTTTTGAAGGCCATTAACTCCATTTGTTGTCAGTGTGGTTACTTGGTTAGGTTAAGGATGGGGGGTAGGTATTGTTTGAGTGGGACTTACAAGCCATCTTTAGTCCCCTGGTCATGTGTTAGTGGTAATAAGAAGCAGAAAATGTCTTTAGAAAACAAACAATTTAAGAATGAAAAGAGGTCAAAAGTAAGTGGCAAAAAAACTAAAAAAAAAAACAAAAACACGGAAGCTTCAATTTCTCCACTTTATTAACAGAATTAGTTGCTCTAGTGGACTTCTCTTCATTGCATTTCCCATCATACAAAATTAATTAAACAAACAGCAGGGAGGTTGGGACCTCTTGGTAATGGCCATGGCAGTTGTGCAGATAGTGAAATTCAAGCACAGAGATCTTGGTATAGCGGGTTTGCAGACATGGAAACCTAGTGCAGGAATGCCGGGAACCCCTCATAATGGGTAAAACAAGTGAACTGACCTGGAAACTGGTAGGAACCTTTCATAATGAGCACACAAGGTATACAGACCAAGGAAATCAGCGCTGGGATCTCCTCAAAATGGGCACAGCAGCTGTGCAAACCTGGGAACTCAATGGAGAGTGGGTGGGAATCTTCATAATGGCCACAGAAAATGTGCACACTGGGAAATAAGCACAGGGATGGTGGGAACTCTTCATAATGGACATAGCAGGTGTACAGACCTGAAAACTCAGCAGAGGTGTAGCACTCTCTTAGTTAGGTTTTTGGCTCCTCTGTAGTCAGGTGAGCAGGATTTGATTGATTTTGGTTGTTCTGGGTTCTGCTGGATACAGGCTCAACTACTTCCCCCTTTATTCTGGAAAGACCTGGAACACAGTGGGGGTGGAAGAGGCAGACCATAGGCTGAATTTTCATGCAGCCTCTGCCAATCCCTGGTCAAGAGAGTGACCAGCAGAGGACTGAGGTGTGCATAAATAATCTAGGGCACATGTGTCAAACACAAGGCCTGCAGGTAGAATGTGGCCCACCAGGCCATTTCATGTGGTTTTCGTACCTCTCCTGCAGGTATAGCACCCCCCTTGTCTCCGCCCCTACCTAGTCTCAGCAGTTCGCAACAGAGAGAAGGACAGGGCTCCTCCACCAGCCATCCTCTGGTCCTCCTCCGAACCTTTCACTTTCTGCTTGCCCAGCTCCACCTCAGCTTCTTCCCTGCAGCATATACACTATATTGCCAAAAGCATTGGGACACCCCTCCAAATCATGTGATTCAGGTGTTCCAATCACCTCCATGGCCACAGGTGTATAAAATCATCACCTAGGCATGCAGACTGCTTCTACCAATACAGAGTTTTGTCTTCAGTTTTCTCTTCATTGAATAGACTACCCTGGAACAGGAACCCCTCACCCTGCATGAGTGAGAAATCATTGGATCCAGGTGTTCCAATCCCCTCCATGGCCACAGGTGTATACAATCAAGTCCCTAGGCATGCAGACTGTTCCTAAAAATATTTATGAAAAAATGGGTCGCTCTCAGGAGCTCAGTGACTCCAAGCGTGGTCCCGTGATAGGTGGCCACCTGTGCAATAAGTCCATCCGTGACATTTCCTGGCTACTAAATATTCCACGCTCAACTGTTAGTGGGATTATAACAAAGTGGAAGCAACTGGGAACAACAGCAACTCAGCCACCAAGTGGTAGGCCACGTCACATGACAGCGGGGTCAGCGCATGCTGAAGCGCACAGTGCGCAGAAGTCGCCAACTGTCTGCAGAGTCAATAGCTAAAGACCTCCAAACTTGGTGTGGCCTTCAGTTAGTACAACAACAGTGTGTAGAGAGCTTCATGGAATGGGTTTCCATTGCCGAGCAGCTGCATCCAAGCCTTCCATCACCAAGTACAATTATGGGGATTATGGTGTGAGGTTGTTTTTCAGGGGTTGGACTTGGCCCCCTAGTTCCAGTGAAGGGAACTCTTAAGGTGTCAGCATACCAAGACATTTTGGACAATTTCATGCTTCCAACTTTGTGGGAAGAGTTTGGGGCTGGCCCCTTCCTGTTCCAACATGAATACTCACCAGTGCGCAAAGCAAGGTCTATAAAGACATGGAGGAGCCCGTTTGGGGTAGAGAAACCTGACTGGCCTGCACAGAGTCCTGACCTCAACCCCATAGAAAACCTTTGGGATGAATTAGAGCGGAGACTGCGAGCCAGGCCTCCTCCCCCGAAATCAGTGCCTGACCTCACAAATGCGCTTCTGGAAGAATGGTCCAAACTTCCCATAGACACCCTCCTAAACCTTGTGGGCGGCCTTCCCAGAAGAGTTGAAGCTGTTATAGCTGCAAAGGGCGGGGCCAACTCAATATTGAACCCTACGGACTAAGACTGGGATGCCATTAAAGTTCATGTGTGTGGAAAGGCAGGCCGACCAATACTTTTATGTTAAGACCATGATTCTTTTCATCATGTGTTTATATAGGATTTGCGTGTTTTATATGTACTGTCTATCATATATATATATAGAGAGCGAGAGAGAGAGAGAAAATACATTATCTATCTATCTATCATCTATCTATCTATTATCTATCTATCTATCTATCTATCTATCTATCTATCTATCTATCTATCTATTATCTATCTATCTATCTATCTATCTATCTATCTATCTATCTATCTATCTATCTATCTATCTATCTATTATCTATCTATCTATCTATCTATATCTATCTATCTATCTATCTATCTATCTATCTATCTATCTATCATATCTATCTATCTATCTATCTATCTATCTATCATCTATCTATCTATCTATCTATCTATCTATCTATCTATCTATCTATCTATCTATCTATCTATTCTATCATCATATCTATATCTATTATCTATCATATCATATCCATCATCCATCCTAATCATCCATCCATCCATCCATCATATCTATCTATCTATCTATCTATACTATCTATCTATCATCCTATCTATCTATCTATCTATCTATCTATCTATCTATCTATCTATGTATATACTCTATACATATAATTCTATCGCATCTATCTATCTATCTATCTATCTATCTATCTATCATCACATCCAATCGCACCCCGTTCATGCGAACCGCTGCGGGTGTGTATGCTAAGTTAACACCATCTTTGTATATACTGTATACCCCGAAATTGGTGCGAAACCCGCCTAAAACGTGGTGCGATATGCGAGATATGCAGAATCGGTTCGCATAGGTGTGAATACCCATGCGATCCGATTCTAGTGCGGACCCAAAAAAGGATCCTGCACCTTTTTGGTGCGGATGCGGTGCAATTTGAGCCATACAAAATGTACGGCTCAAATCGCTCCACACAGAATTGGCATGTCATATGCACAGGAATGCGGATGTGCCGCACCGCCGAAGTGGGAACCCAGGCTAAATCTGTATCTAATCCTCCTCTCCTGGCGGATGGGCCATCCCTATAGGACCCATCAGCAGCCAAATTATCAGCATTGCCATTCATAGCTCCGACGCACGCAGAGCACCCCCCCCCCCCCCGGCGTTCAATCAAAATTCATTGTTCGCTCATCCGACCGCCGTCCTTCGAAATCAATTTGTTACCAGGGGTAACTCTCCTGTACACACGATCATTCGCTACGCAAAGCTTTGCTGACCGGAAAATTACAAAAGAATCGTCCTGTCCCGCGCTTTCCGCGACGCAGATTTCAGAATCAGACGGAAGGATTGACCCGCCCCGCGTTATTATCATCGCACTCGGCGATGCATTATTAATCAGCTAATTAAGCAGGTAACCAGTGTTTCTGTTGTTGTATTAAACACCGCATTAGTATTAGCGCAAAGCGTTTCGTGAAATAAGCAAATGACTCCGATTAGAACTGCAAAAGATAATTAACGCCTTTTGTTGTGTCACCGATTTGGTAATTGCCGGAACGTTCACACGTGAACATGTGTTCCCGGCAAACACGGCTCCTTGTATTCTGCGTCTTGTGTGATGTTTGTGTATGCGGAATATAATCTATACGTAAAGAAGACATGCCTCATCCGGATAGGACATCACCAGACCTCTGATCCTCTATCGGCAACATGGTGCCTTCATGGCGATAGGCAACACTGGGCTAAGATTGCCCACTCTCCATTACCAGCAGGGGTCTCACTCCATTTTTATGAAAGCTGAACTGCTTTCTAACTTTGTCCATCCAGTCCTGAGATTTACACAGCTCTGCCAACTGGGTGAAATGACTTCTACTGCAGGAAAGCAGTAAGGCTTGGTCACTTCCTATCTAACTCAGTGTGGGCAGCGTGGTTTCTTCATGGCAACGAGCGTGGTTACTTCATAACATCCAGTCCATCCAGTCCTGAGATTTACACAGCTGGGTGATCTGAATTCTCTCTACTGCAATCAGGTAATACAGTTTGAGTCACCTCTTATCCAATCCAGTATGGGCAGCATGGAGTCTTGATGACAAGAAATTATATATATATATATATATATATATACACACACACCACTATAAATATATATTTATATGAAGATGGAGATTGTCCGGAGTTCCCCTTTAAAAAAAAACACGCAAAAACAATCAGCCTCAGTTCCCCTTTAAAAGAAAAAAAACACGCAAAAACAATAAGTTTCAGCTGGCCCCAAATTCACGTTTTCCTCACTCCCTCCCCAACAGAATGTCTAAAAAATATCTTCTGCTGTACTAAAAGGTGATCAGTAGCGTTTTATCACTTTATAATGGTCTTTATTGAAGATGGTGATTGTGCGGAGTTCCCCTTTAAATAATAAAAAAAAAAAGCCGCAAAAACAATCAGTCTCAGCTGGCCCCAAATTCACGGTTCGTCACTCCCTCCCCCACAGAATGTCCCAAAAATATCTTCCGCCGGCTCTGTAGTAAAAGGTGATTGATAGCGTTTTATCACTTTTTATTTTCTTTATTGAAGATGGAGATTGTCTGGAGTTCCCCTTTAAAAAAAAAAACCTGCAAAAACAATCAGTCTCAGTTGGCCCCAAAATCGCGTTCGTCACTCCCTCCTCCACAGAATAACCCAAAAATATCTTCCGCCGGCTCCATAGTAAAAGGTGATCAATAGCATTTTATCACTTTTTAATTTTCTTTATTGAAGATGGAGTGATTGTCCTGGAGTTCCCCTTAAAAAAAAAAAAAAAACCTTCAAAAACAATCAGTCTCAGCTGGCCCCAAAATCACGTTTTCTTCACTACCTCCCCACAAAATGTCCCAAAAATATCTTTCTCCGGCTCCGTAGTAAAAGGTGATCAATAGCATTTTATCACTTTAAATCGCTTTATTGAAGATGGAGATTGTCCGGAGTTCCCCCTTTAAAAAAAAAAAAAAATCCTGCAAAAACATTCAGTCTCAGTTCCCCTTTAAAAAAAAAAAAAAGCCACAAAAACATCAATCTCAGCTGGCCCCAAATTCGCGTTTTCGTCAACCCCCCCTCCCCCACAGACTTTCCCAAAAATATCTTCCGCCTGCTCCGTAGTAAAAGGTGATCAATATCATTTTATCACTTTTTAATTTTCTTTATTGAAGAGAGTGATTGTCCGGAGTTCCCCCTTTTAAAAAAAAAACCTTCAAAAACAATCAGTCTCAGCTGGCCCCAAAATCGCATTTCTTCACCCCTCCCCCACAAAATGTCCCAAAAATATCTTCCGCCGGCTCCGTAGTAAAAGGTGATCAATAGTGTTTTATAACTTTTTAATTTTCTTTATTGAAGATGGAGATTGTCCGGAGTTCCCCTTTAAAAAAAAAAAACCTGCAAAAACAATCAGTCTCCTGGCCCCAAAATCGCGTTTCATCACCCCCCTCCCCCACAGAATTCCCAAAAATATCTTCCGCCAGTCTCAGTTCCAATAGCGTTTTTTTAACGTTTTAAAAAAAAAAAAAAAGCCACAAAAACAATCAATCTCAGCTGGCCCCAAAATTCGCGTTTCGTCAACCCCTCCCCCACAGACTTTCCCAAAAATATCTTCTGCTCCGTAGTAAGAGGTGATCAATATCATTTTATCACTTTATAATTTTTTTATTGAAGATGGAGATTGTCTGGAGTTCCCCTTTAAAAAAAAAAAAAAAACCCCGCAAAAAAAAAACAATCATCAGCTCTCACTGTTTCCCACCCCCCCCACAGACTGTCCCAAAATCGCGTAGTAAGAGGTGATTTCTCACCCCCCTTTAAAAAAACCCCACAAAACAATCAGTCTCAGTTGGCCCCAAAATATCGTTTTTCACCCCCGCCCCCACAAAATGTCCCAAAAATATCTTTCGCCTCTCTGTAGTAAAAGGTGATCAATAGCATTTTATAACTTTTTAATTTTCTTTATTGAAGATGGAGATTGTCTGGAGTTCCCCTTTAAATTTAAAAAAAAAAAAAAAAAACCCGCAAAAACAATCATTCTTAGCTGGCCCCCAAATCGCGGTTCGTCACCCACCCCTCCCCCACAGAATGTCTCAAAAATATCTTCCACCAGCTCCGTAGTAAAAGGTGATCAATAGCGTTTTTTAACATTTTAATTTTCTTTATTGAAGATGGAGATTGTCTGGAGTTCCCCTTTAAATTTAAAAAAAAAAAAAACCCGCAAAAACAATCATTCTTAGCTGGCCCCCAAATCGCGGTTCGTCAC